CAAATTCATGTGCTTCTCACATGCAAAACACATTAACCCTCATCCCAACAGTCCAAAAGTCTTAACTCATTTCAGCCTCAATTCTAAATCCGGAATCTCATCTAAATCAAAGGTAGATGAGACTCAAGGCATCATTTACCCTGAGACAAAAATTCCTCTCTAGATGTGAATCTGTTGAAATCAGACAAATTATCTGCTTCTAAAATACAATGGTAGGACAGGCATAGGTTAGACATTCCTATTTCAGAAAGGGTCATGGATCCCAAGCCAAGTTCAAAAGTTCATAGGGTAAACTCCATTAGGTTTTAAGGCTCAAGAACAATCCTCTTTGGCTGGATGTTCTGTCCTCCAGGTCCACTGGGGTGGCAACTCCACCCCTCTGGTGCTGGGTGATAGCCTGGTCTATTGAAACCTAGGAGGTAGCCCTGCCCTCTGGAACCAAGGAGGGAGAGACAGACTTGCCCCCTACACCTGTACCTGGTGCTGGTGGAATATATGCTATCTTCAAGAAACTCTTTTTATATATAAAGACCCAGATAGCTTAAAAGCAAATATATGGAGAAAGATACACCATGCACATATTAAAGAAAGCTGGAATGATTATGTTACTGTCACATAATAATAAAAGAATTAATTAATCAAGAAGACATAATAATCATTAATGTGTATTTACTTAATAACAGAGCCTCAGGATATGTAAAACAAAAACCAGTAAGTAAGAAAAATAAGCAAATCTGTAAGTTCAGTTGGTATGGTAGCCAGGTTCTAAAAAGGCAAAGGAAACAAAACAATTTCTGGTAAATCTTCAGATATAAGGTTATGTTTCTATAGGCTGGGCTGTTGCAGATTACAGGGTTATGACTCAGGATGAGTCTGAATGGGTCCTGACATCAACAGTAAGCTTATCCAAAGCTACTGAATGGCCCAGAGGAAACTGTCTTGGGTTGCCCAATATTTAAATAATCAGCTAAGTATATACTAAACATACACTGTGTATATAAGTATACACTAAGTATATACAAAACATACACTGTGTATATAAGTATACACTAAGTATATATGAACATATACTGTGTATATATGTATATACTAAGTATATACTAAACTTACACTGTGTATATAAGTATACACTAAGTATATATGAAACAAATACTATGCTAGGCACTTTAGAAATATGACATGGTTCCGGCAGTGATGACTTTCCCAGTTGGGAGAAATAAGAATCTCAAATAGGAAACACTAACTAATAAATACGCAGAACTCACTAGAATTCACTCACTCATTTAAGTTACTGCGCAAGTGGTACTTGTTGATATGGTGCTAATTTTAAGATGAAAATGATATAGTTCATGTCTTTAACAGATAGAAAGGCTAGAATGGGAAGATGGATATGAAAACAAGTATAACGAGTTGTTGTAGGTACTACAGAAACGCAGAGGAGGGAGCCGCACATTCTGCCTAGGGTTTCAGGAATGCATACATAGAAGAAATGATGTCTGAGCTGAACTTAAAAACTAAATAAATTCCTATTTAGGTATTGTCCAGGAGACAAGGTAGGGAAGGGCATATTAGGCAGAAGGATCAATATGAGCAAAAGGGCAAAAGTATAAAAACTTTTAGTTGTTTAAAAGTAAGTGGTTGTGTATGCTTCAAGGCTAGGATGAGAAGAGAAGTGCATTTAACAAACAGGCCAATGAAGGACAGCCTTGTAGGATATAATAAGGAGTATGGAGTTTATCCAATCTGTCTTCTTCTCTTATTCATTCAGCAAATACTTATTGAGCAGATACTACATGCTAGGCATTATTCTTGGGATAGACAAGGCTCCTGTCCTGTCCTCATGAGGGTGTTACTGGGTGGGGGGAGGCACAGTGGCAGTGAAAGGCACTGGACACACATAGTTGGATAACACAAATGTCAACTGCAAAGGCCTCTACATTCCCCAAAACAAAAATGTAAACACACCACACCCCCCTACACAAAATATACCAATGTGCGTATTTGGCAATGATTTGCGTCTTATGTTTCCTGGGCTTCAAAAACTAAAGTAAACCTCGATCATAATATCTTCATAGACCAATCATTTTGCAGTGCTAGGGGTCATCTTTCTCAAGAGCTTGTACGGTTCCCTTCAATTCTTATTTGTGGTGAGGTGGCAGAAAATTGGCTGGTTTCTCCACCAATCTTTAGCACCCAAGGAGAAGCTTATAGAAGGTGGTGTTAGTTGCTGTATTCCTTTACAGATGACTTAAATCCTCTGTTTCTCTGGGTTCCCAGGGAAGCCTGCTAAAGAGACAACTTCAAACACCTCAGGCAGTAACTTCAGTGACTGAAGAACATTCTCAGTCAAGAAGAAACATATTAACACAATTCATGTATGTGAGCACAACTTTGATGATTACAGCAGCTTGATTGTAACATAATGTATAATGGCAAGCCTATTAATGAATTCTTGGTCTCATTCATTTAAAACTTTCCAAAAAATTCTTAGTTTGAAATTTCCTATTTTGGTCTCACCCTGGAGATACTATTTCCCTTAGGAAAACTAAGTTAAGTCCATTGGAGCATATTTGAAAAACAGAACAAAGCAAAAATACTTTTTTCATTTCAAAGACAAGCTGTTATACAAATACATAATTTAATGCCAGTTCAATTTTGATACATCACTATGTCAGTGCTTTAAGAAGACTGTTCTTTTTTTTTTTTAATAGATTTTATTTAACAGAGAGAGAGAGAGAGAGAGAGCACGAGCGAGACCGCACAAGCATGGGGACCGGCAGAGGGAGGGAGAAGGAGGCTCCCTGCTGAGCTGGGAACCCTGAGGTGAACCCAGGACCTTGGGAGAGGAATGGATCATGACCTGAGCTGAAAGCAAATGCTTAACTGACTGAGTACTCAGGCGTCCCAAGAAGTACCATTCTTCTGTTAAAATTTGGAAGTGAAAGTTTTAAAAATTAACTAGGCATGCATATTTTAAATATCCTTTAGCTATTGGGAATCCAACTTTATTCTGTCCTTTACATTCTTCCCTCTTTCAAGAAGAGGGAATTCAAAATTTCTATGGCAATGTGCTAAATTTGAGAGGTAGGTCTTACCTTTCTCATCAAATAGTGTAAAGCAGATAACTAATTAGGCTATTAAATATGTCTACTATGAGGGAATATCCATATCGTGGAGAAGTATGTAGAGCTCAAAGAGTCTAATCTGTATTTCTTGATCTGTGGGTTGACTTTAATATTATACCATGGAAGTGTCTGTATTTAACATAATTTTTCTTCACACATTATGAGTAAACAAAGACTGTTCAACAAATCGCAAGGATTTAGCTGGAAAATAGCATATACCTTCAAAATTCTGGAGAATTTTAGTAAATTTACAACATGAGTACAATTAAGTCTCTCAGTTGGTATGATCATAGCCTAGTTAGGGATATCATCAACCCCTCTGTGAAGAGCAACTAAAGGAGCTCAGAGCTAATGTTTTAAAACTGTTCTATTTCTCTTTTTCTGTGTTTATTTAGTTTTCTTTCCTTCACTTTCCATGTCTGCTCTTTATTGCTATTCTCATCAATTTTTATCCCTTTTTTCTTAAGATTTTATTTACTTGAGAGAGAGAGAGAGCACACTCGTAGCATGAATGGGGGGAAAGGGTCAATGGGAGAGAAAGAAGCAGACTCCCCACTGAGCAGGGACCCAACTTGGGGCTCGATCCCAGGATCTCAGGATCATGACCTGAGCTGAAATCAAGAGTTGGACGCTCAACTGACTGAGCCATCAGACGCCCTTATCTGTTTCTTTTATCCTCAGTTTGTATCTCCAGACTAGCCTTTCTTTATCAAACAACAACAAAAAAAATTCACAGTATGAACAAAAGAGAATTATTGGATTTTTACAGGCAATAGTATGTAGAAAATGTAGCATGCAGAGCACCTAAACTAATTCATCTAACGGTTCTTTCACTTAAAAACTTAGTCTGTTGTGACCCACTGTTCCTTATAGACAACTGAAAATACTTGCTACTGACTTGTCAAGACTCCTTTATCCGCAGGCTAAAGTTAAGCATCTGCCTTCAGCTCAGCTCATGATCCCTGAGTCCTGGGATTGATCCCCCCACCCCAGGTCTGGCTCCCTGCTCAGTGGGGAGTCTGCTTCTCTGTGTCCCTCTGACCCTCCCCATGGGTCTTGTGGTCTATCTCTCTTTCTTTCTCTCAAATGAATAAATAAAAAAATCTTGGAAAAAATCCTTTATCAAAGTATCCTTAGCTCAGATTTTCCTTCAGTGGTCACAATTATTAGTGATCATCACTTTTATGAAATAAAGTACAGCATATTAACAGACTATCTTTAACCCTCTCCTTTTTTTTTTTTCCTCAAAGATTTATTTATTTTAGAGAGAGAGAGACAATGAGCACAGTAGGGGGAGGGACAGAGGGAGAGAGAGAGAATCTCAAGCAGATTCTGTGCTGAGCGTGGAGCCCAACTTGGGGCTCCATCTCAAGACCCTGAGATCACGACCTGAGCAGAAACCAAGAGTTGGACCTTAACCAACTAAGCCACCCAGGCACCCCAACCCTCTCCTTTCTAATCAGCCCTTTCTGATACTTGAGTAAGTCACACTGAGGGAAGAATAAAGGGGTACTTCTTGCAAATGGTAATTCCTATATCTGTTGAAGAACTATCCATTGCTAAGAATCTTGAATCTGAACACTGAACTTCCCAAGGGGCTCTAATTGCACCAACCTAAGTAGCAGCTGAATTTTTTTTTTTTTTTAAGATTTTATTTGTTTATTCAACACAGAGAGAATGAGCTAAGTAGGGGGAGCAGTAGGCAGAGGGAGAAGCAGGCTCCTCCCTGAGCAGGGAGCCCGATGTAGGGCTCGATTCCAGGACTCCGGGACCATGACCCGAGCCGAAGGCAGACGCCTAACAACTGAGCCACCCAGGCGCCCCTAGCAGCCGGATTTTAACAAGATCTTGTCAAAGTTCAAGTGAGGGGCTTACCTGTTCCTGGGTCATCTTCTGCAGCTCATTCTCCCAAGCTGCCTGGTCATCGTCCAAATTATAGGAAGCTGGTGGAGTGAGTCCACGAAGGATCAGGGGGTCTCGGTCATGGCAGAGGGCTGTCAGGTGTCCAATATACAACTTTAATTTGCTTCTATTTTGGTCAAGTTCTAAGAGGGGCTGGATGATCTGAAGCGAAAAAATTGAGGAAAGTCAAGGTCATTCTGAAACAAGAAGTTCAAGTATCTTCATGCCTCCCAAGTCAAAGAAAGCTGACCAAAGACTAAAGCTCCTCTAAGCACCACTGAAATCTTCAGGATTATAAAAGATACAGTTCCACACACTTGCACATTTACACTGTCACACCCAACCGTTTCTGGAGACAGGTAGGGAATGTCGGCTTAGTCTATCAACAGAAACTGAGAGTTCCGTATTTAGGCAGGGGATTAAACACAGGACTAACTTGTTTTTACAAAGATGACATTCCTGATACAGAAAGACTCCAGTTACCTCACGATTTCTCTTCCCATTTATTTATGAGTGGTTACAAAAAACTGCTAGTGAAATTTGCTCACTGAAAGCCTGGACAATATATACTTCATGTGTTCCTTCTCCTCCTGGAATGGAAGAAAAATTCTGTCTCTGGAGAAGGTGCATGTTTTTCTTGGCCATGAGATGTGATGAGTGAACTCATTACTAAATCTGCCTCAACCTGGCTTAAGCTCCCCTCATTCATTTCACAGAGCTATCCGATAGTCCTTCTAAACAGTGATTGATAAATCCTTATATAACACCAAACACCTGACTCACAGCCAAGGACTTTGAAATTCTCTCAGTTGTAAGACTGGTTTGATGTTTTTCTTGAAAAACAGTCCTGTGTTTGTTTGTTTGTTTTTTGTATTTCCTTCACCCTGGATGATTAACTATCTCTTTGCTCCCTTTGGAAACACATTAAATGACAAATGGCTTCTGCCCAAAATTTCATCTGACGGCTCTCATGACAACACTCTGATCAGGTACTTGGTAGTTGGTCAAAGGCTGGTGTGCTTGGGAAGAGCTGGGCCGGATCTCACATCTCAGAATGCTAAAGTGTTAGAGCAGCACCTGCTTGACACACAGCAGCTGTGAGAGCTGCGAAGCCCCACCAAAATGCTGGCAATTCTCAAAATGTTCCCAGGCCCTACAATGCACCTGTTGCATTTCACTAGGCTGGCATTTTCCATGCACAGGACACCTCTGACCCACCTAATGAATAAGGAGCTCAGTAATCTTCATTTACAGAAACGAGGACTGGCATTACTCTCAAAAGTGACACTGATTTCTCCCTGGCCTCCTCAGAGGCTGGCTCCTGCTGCTTTCCTTTGTTTCTCTTTCAGAGTATTTAAATGAACAAAGTTTTAAATTTTTATTATGAAATCAATACATATTTTACTCTGAAAAATATGGGGAAAAAAGTGTAAAAGAAATAATAAAACAGGCTATAAGTGTTCCAACAAGACTACTATTTACAACATTGTTTTCCTCCAAGTCTTTTTATAAACTTTTATAATTCAGCTTTTAATAGTATCACACTTTATATTTGCTCGATACACTGTTTATTCAATATTATGAGTACTACTCAAATATCACGTATTCCTGGAAAACATGGTTTTCAATGATTGCTTTATAAATAAATCACATTTCCTATTTTTGATGTTATTTCCATGAAGTAATTAAGAGAGCTGAATGGCTAAAATAATCTTTAGCTTACGAAAAGATGAGAGTTCAGAGTTTAGGCCTATCTAGTATTACACATTATAGAAATTGAGGCCTGGCTATACAAACCAGAGAAAGTAGATCAACTCAGCATTATTTTATTTTTTAAACTCACATACACAATTCTTCAAGGATAAGGTTTAACACTTAGGGGCTGATGTGGAAGGTTCTTGGGCTCTGTACAAGAGCCCTAGCAGCAGGCTCATGGTACCAGTTCTTTGTTAGCCATTTCCTACCTATGATAGATATATCAACACTGCCAGTCACAGAAGGGATTGTTTCTTTCTTTTTCTTTTTTAAGATTTTACTTACTCATGAGAGAGAGAAAGAGAGAGAGTGAGAGGGAGAGAGGCAGAGTGAGAGGCACACACGGAGCCTGATGCAGGATTCCATCCCAGGACTCTGGGATCATGATCCGAGCTAAGGGCAGATGCTTAACCGACTGAACCACCCAGGAGCCCAAGAAGGAACTGTTTCAAGAAAGCAAAGGATTTGGAGAGTGGTGAAGTTGGGTAATTTTCCACAAACATCACCTATCTCTCAAAAAGAATTGTATTTTACTTCTGATCACAAATGCATACCCACTGCAGAAAATTTTATAAAGAATTCTAAAGCATAATCTTTAAAAGCAATTTAAAAGCAGTATTCCTTTAAATGAACGCATATTTTGCACATTAGTAACTAAACTCCCTAGTCATGGTTCTATTACCACATACCACATCCCTGAGGCCTCCAAGCAATGCAGCCCCTATTTCTTTTTTCTTTTTTTTAGATTGGCCTTGTCTTCTTTCACTGACACACTGAAAACAAATTGGGGAGGGGGTTCACTTTTGGGATTTCCACTTATTCCCATTCTGTGTGTGTATGTCTCTATAGTTGTTATCACATCTGGACTGCAAGGCTGAAAATGCTGGTATCTTAGGTAATTAATGTTTGTTTCAATGGGCAAACTGGCATAAAAAAGTATGACAAGTATGACTACAGAGGAAGGGGTCAATGTGATAAATGGTAGTAATGGAGAAGTTAAATTTCTTATAAGTAAATGGAATCTAGAAAGATACTACCTCCCCACTATATGACTTCAGATGAAAAAATTTATGTTTTAGGTCTTAGTTCTTTTTTTTTATTTTAAGATTTTATTTATTCATTTGAGAGACAGACAGGGCACAAGCAGGGAGACAGGCAGAAGGAGATGGAGAAGCAGACTCCCCGCTGAGCAGAGAGCCTGATGTGGGGCTCGATCCCAGGACCCTGGGACCATGACCCAAGCCAAAGGCAGATGCTTAACCCACTGAGCCACCCAGGTGCCCCTAGGTCTTTGTTCTTAATCAAAGATAAATTTCAAGTTAATTTAAATGCACTTCATGCTGAAGTGCTAACTGATTTTAAAAATGTAAGAGTCTTTTGCATTCCAGAATTTTTCAAAGTCCAAACTGAAAAGTTAAAAAAAATGATGGAATTTGACATTTTTTCCAGGTTAAAGATTCATTCCATGTAATAGCCCAGATGTCTGTCCTTTCCTTCCATGTCAAAGGGAATTGCTTTAAAAAAATAAAATCCATGGAGTTTACTATGTGAAATAATAGGAAACAGCCCAAATAGCACAGTTCCCAAATCTACCCACTAAAAAAAAATCACTTCGGCCTCTTTGGGACATATTTAACCATGTCAATCATGTGGGAAATGCCCTTATCTCTTTCTTCTCCTCTCTATCTGACTTGGGCAGGCCACTTAGAAAAGAAATTGCATTTCCCACAAGGTGGAACTGCCACTGTGTAATCTCAAGAGGGAACGGGGACACTTGCCAAGTAGAATGAGGATGGCTTACAGGATCCCTAAGTTATGTCTTCTGTCCACATACAACGTCAGCCCATTGGCAGAAGTCCTACCAAAAACTATGAGAAATGTGGTCTGGCTACATGAGTTCTACAGCTATGCAGAACAATCGTAATACACCTTTTCTGGCAAAAAGAAGTTAAAAAATGAACTTGTATGACAACTTCTGTTTGTATCAAATATAATGACAAATGGCAATGTTCCCCCAATCCTATATTTACCAAATTGTTAAGGAAAAGTACTTAAATTGTAAAAAGGGATGAGAGATTTTTGGTTGAAGTACTCATGGCTTTGTTGTGTCGTGCAAGGATTTATTTGCTTATGTACTAGGTTCTCAAACTGACTTCACAGGCCAGTGTTTGATGACATATGGTGACAGAGGACAGTGATCTTCTGAGGTGTTTATTTTAACCTCCTTTCCACTTAAGTGAGATTAGATGGGTAAAGGTCTTTTGGAAGGAGTTGCTCCTGTATTGTTCAATGTAGATTTTAACTGAAAATTCCACAGTATTCCATTTATGCAACCCATTTATCTATGGTATCTGAACATACTTTCTCAGACCATTTGACTCTTCAATACGAGGATGGATTGTGCAGAGTGAAAGACTCCTAACCAGTCCATTCCACAGCCTGCTTTTCTCTTCCTGTTCTATTGTTTCTGTGTCAGACATTTACTCTAAATATAGGTTAGTTGGTTGTAACACATTCTAGGAACTCATTTTGAAAGGAATGCTTTATCTTCATAAAGACTGAATGGGTAGGTACTGAGTATTATTTGGGACCTAAGGTATTTGCTCTTGGGGTAATTAATATTTTGTTGTTTGAAAAAAGTCATTTTTTAAAAAGCTAAGGTTTATTGATCATTTACTGTGTTCCTTGTAAATAATCTTAAATTTACTATGATTTTTCTGTGGTTAGTGCACTGCCTTTATTTAATTGGCTACAAAACCTTTTTGTTCTTTCTATCTGCTGCTGAAGCCTTCAGAGGCAGGTTCAACTGTCCATATATTAACAGCATAAATGCTGGTGATAGTTCTGATTGTTCACTGGGTTACCATTATACTTCTATCCCCCAATGTAGGTACATCAAGAAAGTCCCAGAACAACTAACATATTATCTTTCTAGAGACATTACTCTCTTAATTGCATTCTTGTCCAGAGGTCCCAGCAGAGAACTAACTCTGAAAAGTAAAAAAGGAAAGAAGAAAATGAAATACATCAGTCTAATCTCAAAGTCTTTTCCCCCTCTCAATAACTAAGTTTATCTTCTTGACCATAACATACCTCAGGATCAGAAAGATGAAGGATAGTGTTAAGTCTCTTTACAAAGGTTTAGAGCTCTGTGTTATGTTCTCACTTATATGCAGCTATTTGGTGAAAGAATAGAGTTGTCTGAAAAATATAGTAATCCTCATAATACTTTTGCTTCATTGATTAGATATGTTGCATATCAAATGACATATACTGAAACTAAAAAGTTACCACTTAACAAACATTTAGTGACTGTCTTTGTTCCATGCCATGTCTGGTTTTAGCTGATGAGAATATTAAGAATAAGGTGTGGTCTGATCTACATTTAAAAAAAATCATGAAATAGT